CCATCCTCCTGTTCTTAATGTTGTTCTTATTTGTTTCTGTTGTTGAACGCCGCGCACAAATGACGCCGCTGTTGACCGGCTTACGTCACGTCTTAGTACACACTCTCGGTGCGAATGCAACCCTTTAAATGGTACTGGGAAATAGTTTGCGCAAAATCGTCCCAGTACTTTAGTACTGTACATTTAGTTCTGGAACTAAAGCGGTGTGAAAGGCCCTATTGATGACGATGTTTTTATCTGCTCCATGTGTCCAGTCCATTAAACTATCTGTGGATTTTAGTGACTCACTCATGTTTTCCCCTCTCTCCTCATTTTTTTCTCTCACTATTTTTTTTTTGTTTAGAATAGTTGACATTTTTACTTATCGAAGATTGTTCTTTGCATGACCATTTCTAGATTACACCAGAATGAAGTGAAGAGAGGTGAATGCAGACATTAGGTGCAGCGACCACCTGATAGATAGGCTACGTGCAGTTTGTTCAAAAGTAAAATATATAATAAATGCATTTGATTGGTAAACCAAATTCAAATGTGATATTTTAATCTCTAATGGTAATGCATGGAATTTACGGAAAAACTCCACTAAATAATAGCACTAAAAAGTGAGGGGTGTGGTGGGGCTTTGGCGATCGGCGCTACCGATGTCCGTCAAGCACCAATCACGGGCCCCCTCCTAGCTCGGGCCCCGGGGCTTCAGCCCCGCCTAGCCCAGTGGTTAATGCGGCCCTGCCCATCAGTCCATAGGCCTATAATTGCCCATCTCTTATGCATGCACTGGTACCTTTGACAATATAAGATAACAAATGTTTTCATTTATTTATTTTATTTTGTTGTTTGTTTATTTGTTTTAGGAACGTGGCGCCTTCATGTGCACATCATACAAGGGCAGCACGCAAGCGTTCAGTTTTCAACTCGGTTGAGAAACTTAATGAGTAAGTGTGCATTTACCGCCATTTTACATCTTAGAGTTTAATTTTGCTTGCATACTGTCAGATATTTGTATAAATGCTTGCATAATGTAAAGTATACATGTTGTCACCATGCTCACTTTTTATTTGATTTTATTTTGTTGCAGATGTGAGAATGACAGCGACCAGATGCCTGCTGCAAAGAGAGCCGGGACTCTTTCGTGGACAGCAGAGACTGATGTTGACCGGGTTGCACAGACTCTGAGATTCCTGCCTGCTCGGGAACCTGGACCGCAGTTGTCTGCTGCTGACTCGCACTCTCCCATGAGTCTTTTCAAACTGTTTTTCACAGAGAGCGCCGTGGCAAACCTGTGCCACAACACAAATGCTCAGGCTGCCAGGGCAATTGCAAAGGGCCGCAAGTACAAATGGACCGATGTCGGTGTTGATGAGCTGTACCGCTACATCGGACTCGTATTCTACATGGCCGCGGTGAAGATGAGCTCCATCGCTGACTACTGGCGGCAGGACAGCCTTTTCTCTCTGCCTTTCCCCGCCACAGTTATGCCACGGGACAGATACCGCACCATTTCATGGAATGTGCACATGAGTCACCCAGACGCAGACAAGGAAAACGACAGAAAGAGGGGCACAGCCCAACATGACCGTCTGTTCAGGATCAAACCCCTCATGGACACTATTCGTCTTGCGTGCAAAGCCTTCTATCATCCCAGAAGAAATGTAGCTGTGAAGGAGAGATTGGTGGCATGCAGAGCAAATACCGGAATGACGGTGTACATGAAAGCCAAGCTGACAAAGTTCAAGTTTTTTGTCCTTTCAGACTCCTCAAATGGATATACTGTGGACTTCTCTGTCTACACGGGCAAGAATAGCTTTCTCACAGACCGTGGGCTTTCGTATGATGCTGTGATGTCTCTCCTGGACCGTAAAGTTTTGGGCTCTGGGTATCATGTGTACATGGATGATTTCTACACAAGTCCAAAGCTCTTCACAGACTTGTTTGCTCTGAAGTTTGGTGCTTGTGGGACGTACAGAGACCAGAGGAAGGACTTCCCGAAGACTGCAGCTAATTCACTGAGCAGAAACTCCAGCAGGGGATCCATCAGGTGGATTCGGGATGGGCCTCTTGTGTGTGTGAAGTGGATGGACACGCAAGAGGTGTCTGTTTGTTCCACCATCCATGCTGCCTATACAGGAGAGCGCGTGCAAAGGAAAATCAAAGCACAACATACATGGAAGACGAAGATTTTACCATGTCCTGCACCTGTGACTGCATACAACCAGCACATGGGGGGTGTTGACCTGTCCGATCAGCTGTTGCAATACTACGCTGCGCAGCACAAAACCATGAAGTGGTACAGAAAAATCTTCCTACACTTCTTGGACATTGCCGCCAACAACGCTTTCATATTGCACAAAGAGCTGCACGGCAACATGACTCACGATGGGTCACGGCACCAATGTAACCCCTCTCTCCCGGGTCCTCTCCACCACACCTCGCTCTTGTTCCGAGTGGGTCTCGGACCTGGGTCTCCGGCATGGGAGGCGGACGCATTAACAACGAGGCTAAAGACTGCAGAGCACCTACTCGCTGGCCTCCATTACACAGCCGTACACACTTTTCCTTGCGGCAGAGGCAGAGTACTGCAGCTATTTGAACATCTAAGCTGCAATAATAATAAAAGCGGTGTACGTGCAAGCAGTGGCGCCTGCAGGTGTATGGCTGTAGGCACTGTGCGTACCATGAGCACTCAGACTGACCTGAGATTTTCCCCGCAAACATTTCAGCAGCTATTATAGGCCTGCATGCCATGCCATTAATTATGAGATCAGTCTTTTGCATGCCAAAGTCAATTTCTCCATGTAAGGCATTTCAGCTTCCACTCTCCGCACAAACTATTGGATATGCATCTATAACAGCGCACATTTATCTAGGTTAAGCGTTTAAACTAACACTGTGATTGTCACGGGTGCACTGCTGAGCGGACTGAGGAGCAAGGAACAGAGAGAGACGAGGAGCAAGACACACACAAAACATGGAACAGAGTCTGACAGTGATATGCTTGAACTGTTTTATATCTATAGATTTTATATAAAATACACTATTTTGTGTCAGTACATTAATGGCACATTAGAGCAGCATTAGTAAGCTGTGTAAATATAAAGAAATGCCAAATCACATGCAGGTTTTTTCAGACCGGAGACCATAATCGTGTAATAATTAATTTTATTATGTTATGAAACATCCAATTTTTCTTTCAATAATGTTTTTTTTTTTAATTTGCAAGAATTGCATGATACTAAACTTTTTATTAGTTGTCATAGCAAGTGATTTTAAAAGTGCGGAGACCATAATTGTGTAATCATTTATTTTATTATGATATGAAATGTCCAATTTTACTTTCAATAATGTTTTTTTAATTTTTGCAAGAATTTCGTGATACTAAACTTTTTATTAGTTGTCATAGCAAGTTATTTTAAATGTAGGATGACTCACTTTTTATAAGATGACTGAAAATTTTACTTGAATTGGTAGTTTATTCTTACTTTTGTAAACCTAACTGTTTTGTAATTACTACTATTCCTATTCTTATTTCTGTTGTTTCTAGAAGTAGTATTTTTGATAATGGTCAATAGAAAAAATTTAACCACACACACATTGTTTGTCCACAGAATAATTACACATTATTAAATAAAAAGCGTCCCGCAGGGGATGACGAGACACACCTGGGAGCAATGAAACATCAAGGGAAACACCTGGGACAAATTAACTTAACTAATCAGGACAGGAACAGGAAACTAACCAAATAAGGGCATAGGAAGGCACATGGGGAGCAAGACACACACAAAACATGGAACAGAGTCTGACAGTGATATGCTTGAACTGTTTTATATCTATAGATTTTATATAAAATACACTATTTTGTGTCAGTACATTAATGGCACATTAGAGCAGCATTAGTAAGCTGTGTAAATATAAAGAAATGCCAAATCACATGCAGGTTTTTTAAGACCGGAGACCATAATCGTGTAATAATTAATTTTGTTATGATATGAAACATCCAATTTTTTCAGTAATGTTTTTATATTTTTTTTTTACGTTTTGCAAGAATTTCGTAATACAAAGCTTTTTATTAGGCTAGTTGTCATAGCAAGTTATTTTAAATGTAGGATGACTCACTTTTTATAAGATGACTGAAAATTTTACTTGAATTGGTAGTTTATTCTTACTTTTGTAAACCTAACTGTTTTGTAATTACTACTATTCCTATTCTTATTTCTGTTGTTTCTAGAAGTAGTATTTTTGATAATGGTCAATAGAAAAAATTTAACCACACACACATTGTTTGTCCACAGAATAATTACACATTATTAAATAAAAAGCGTCCCGCACAAACCTCTACCTCCACCAGCAGGACCTCAATTCCCTTTCATGGGAACTTCGAACTGCGTTCTCTAGGGGTCGCTATGGGGAACGCCTCGTCGTGACCCGTGTCTGAAGCATACATTGAAAAAAAACACCAACTCGTTGGCCGGCGACAGCCATGATGTCACTACCGGTGCGACTATAGTATAAATAGGCGCCGGGAGCACACATAATTCTCTTCTTCGTATTCATTGACTGTTTTGTTTGAAGCGTGCATTTCTGTGGCAAGAGCGATCTCTATTCATCTCATTATGGCGAGCACTAGCAAAGCGTTTAAGGATGTGTGCAACGGGTCACGACGAGGCGTTCCCCATAGCGACCCCTAGAGGATGCAGTGTCTCGTTCCCTACTCAATGAACCTCTGTTACATAAGTAACCTGAGACGTTTCAGACTCAGTAAAGTTTTTTTTTTCTTTGTGCTGGTCATTCTCAAGCATAGAAATGCGGATATTGGCGTGTGCTCTTTTATATGGTAATGATATTAATTAGGGGGCGTTTACAAGGCGGAGATCTGGCACCAGTCAGCTGCGCACAATTTCAAGATCATTTGCATTTATAAATGTCACAACTGGAAGAGAGGCGTACGCACCTGTTTTTGTGCGCACAATCGTTTTCTCTGAATCGCACATGCGCCCTTTTGAGAAATGATCTTAGAACAAATTTAGGACGGTTTATACGCAATATTTTATAAATGAGGCCCCTGGTGTCAGAGATGCAATTAATTGAAGAAAAATTTACTGAAAAAAAGAGCTTGCAGTTTAATCAGCCGAAGTCAGCTTCAACACTCAATGGAGTTCATTGGCTGCTCTGCCTACACTCTCAATACAACTCTAGTTATATTCTAACAGAGGTCACTAACTACATCATTACTTAGGTAAAAAGGATTCTGGTTGGTTGAAGCATAGATAAACTTAGAAAATCTCCACACATGGACATAAGCATATCTTCAGAGACAAGCAATCGAGAGGTCAGATGCAACAGGTCTCTCCAGAGACATATATCAAGCAACCCATGGGTCAGGGTGACGGAAGAGTCAAGTCAAGTCAAGTCACCTTTATTTATATAGCACTTTTAACAATACAGATTGTGTCAAAGCAACTGTACAGTTTTAATTAGGAAAATAGTGTGTCAATAATGCAAAGTGACAATAGTAAACACTCATTTTTCAGTTAAAGGCAGTTCATCATTGAATTCAGTGATGTCATCATCCAGCTCAGTTCCCGGTGGTAGTCTGAGACAAGGTCTTTACTGGGGATCTGTATCTGGGGCTCATTTAGTTGTCCTGGTCTCTGCTGACTTTCAGGGCTGTAGAAGTCCTCTCTAGGTGCTGATCCACCATCTGGTCTGATCTAGTACTGGATCCGGGTGACTGCAGTGACCATCTGATCTGGATACAGACTGGATCTGGTGGCTACGGTGACCTCGGAATAAGAGAGAAACAGACTGATATTAGCATAGATGCCATTCTTCTAACGATGTAGCAAGTACATCGGGTGTTATGGAAAGTGTTCCCGGTTCCGGCTGACCTAATTAATGCAGCCTAAAAATCTTTTAACGGATTTTAATATTAGAAATGTGTTAGTGTGTTATGTGTAAGCCAGGTTAAAGAGATGGGTCTTTAATCTAGATTTAAACTGCAAGAGTGTGTCTGCCTCCCGAACAATGTTAGGTAGATTATTCCAGAGTTTGGGCGCTAAATAGGAAAAGGATCTGCTTCC